CTGTCCCTGGGCCACCCAGGGAATGCAGGATGGCTCGAGACAGTTGCCGCCAGTTCCTATGAGGCATCAGCCCAGCTTTTTTTTTTTTGTCGTGTCAGGAGCAACTTGAGAAACTGCAAGTTGCTTCTGATGTGAGAGAATTGGCTGTCTGCAAGGACTTTGCCCAGGGGATGCCTGGATGATTTGATGTTTTTATCATCCTCGTGGGAGGCTTTTCTCATGTCCCCACAAGAGGAGCTGGAGCTGATAGAGGGAGCTCATCTGCCTCTCCCCGGATTCGAACCTGCGACCTGTCGGTCTTCAGTCCTGCCGGCACAGGGGTTTAACCTACTGCGCCACTGGGGGCCCAGCTGTCTGCATTGTTCTAACTCAGAAGACAGCCTGAATCCTGCTTCATCCAAGTTAGGTTAACCTGTGTGAAAGCTGCATTAAGTGACCTTCCTTCATCTTAACCCAGATCACTCCACCAATGTTTGGTTGCCGCAAGGCAGATTGAATTACCCACTGACCTAAGTGGTCAGTGTTGATGTGCCCTATGTAGTATGTTTCCATTTTATTGTGAAAATGACATTGCTAAAGCCAGTTTTTCAACCTTGTGCTACTTCAGAAGCCTGAAATGCCACAAAGAAGCTTAAAGTTTTCTTTTAAAGGACAAAGCATGGTCAAGGCTTCTGACTTTTCAAATATGTGCTGCAGATATAACCATTCTTGCATTAACTCCTCTTAGTTTTATCAGTTATGTTAGACACAGGCTGAAACTTTCCCTGTGTTTATTTGCAGTGTTCTCACTCTTGTTCATATGCATCTTGTATAGAGCGTCGTCTTGCATTTCAATCAGTTTTATCAGTTTAGTAATCTGTCCACACTTTGTACACCTTTTGCTGCTGAGCCAATTGGGTCTTTGGACTGTAAAAAGTTTATTTACATTTATGTTATAGGGGTCATTGTAAAAGGTCAGTAAATTATGTTGACTTTAAATTCTCTCTGTCTTTTTAATGAACAGTACCCCATGTTCTAGCACATAAAACATCTAAGAACTAATATTTTTAGAATTTTAAACTTGCATGGTGAACAGTTTGCCACATTCATTTATGTTCAAAGAGGAAGCTATCCTTGTCTGCCACTACTTAATCTTCCCTGTCCTATTTAGTACAGAAAGGGTTACTGTAAGGATGACTTATTTTCCTTCCCACCTGCTCCACAGACCTGTTGATAGGCAGAAGGCTGTTGAGCTATATTTGGGGGGGGGGGGGGGGAATCAAGAACAACAATAGGGAATAGATATCCTTTGAAGTGATGTTGCTAATAAAGAAATCCAGCTTCCTTTCAGGATTCTGTGATTTAGCAATTTGCAGAGTAAACCAAGGAGGTGTCGTGATGCAACCGTTTCCCTCCAGGCGTCTCTCTATTATATACAGCATACCTACACCCAGTGATTCATATTTTCATTCTGAACAGGTAAGAAAGCACCATTCAGTTTCTCCCTCCGCATGTACTTCTTTGGAAATTGCTTGTGCCTAATATGATGATTATTCTTTCTGATAAGCCAAGAAAAAATTGTGTCACTTTTTTTGACAACTTGATCCCATTTCTTTTCTTGTTCTTTGACAGAGACCAACTATTTCCCACAGTCAGAGTTTACGAGGCGACATTACCAGTCTAAAGCATTCTTTCAGTAAACGAACAAGTGTGCATTTCTGGAAAAGATGCCTTTTAAAAACCTTTCCTACACTTTCCTTGATTGTTACTGTAATTTTTCTAGTCCTGTACTATACATTATGTAAGTAGCATTACTCAAAATGTATTTTTTAAAAATATGAATGTGGGCATTATTAAGAATTTAGGATTCCAATAACGTACAAAGTTTATAGATAAATATTTATAACAATATTCGAAACTGTCTTAAAAATTAATCTAATATCCAATCATCATTACAAATTTCAGTTGTAATTAATTAGGGTATAGAGTGTGGTTTCAATCCAGCAAAAAGGAGTTCGACAACATTTCCTTTTTAATTGATCTGTCTTGCTAGAGTGTGAAAACTCAAGCCCTGAGGGCAGAGGAGTAGTGATTTTTCATGATTTTCTCTAAATAATATTTTTTTCAATAGTTTCAGAAATCATACAGACAAAATGAAGTAATATTAAGAAATTAAACATTTTACATATTTTCTTCAACTCTAGAAAATATTATGAATAGCTACTGAGAAGCAAATTAAATGAATTGATTCCCTTCATTGAAAACTGTTTGAAAGTGATTTGAAAAACTGGAAAAGTAAATTTTTCCACTCATAATAACATGTTTTGAACAGAATCTGATTTTGATTTCTGATCGAGAGGAATATTTTCTTTTTTAAAAAAGGTAAAACATAATCAGGTATTCAGGCCTGATAATATCTATTTTTATTTGCATAATAGCTAATGTAGGATCTCCCCCTTTCAGCTCCTTCATTTTCTTTCATCTACATCAGTGGAAGCGTTGAAATTCCCAACCTGTCCTATACGAATGACTTAATGCATCCTGAGTCCCACACATTTATGCTGCAAACGGAAGTAATCCAGAATTATGTAAGTTTTGCTGGAAACATATAGAAGATTTTGCTTTGCTTTTTATTTATGGGATATGTGGTTAGGAGGAATTAGGATGCTGGGAATTTGGTGAAAGACGTTTTCCTACCACTGCCAACATTTTTAGTTTTCTTGATAACAAGCAATGTTTCCGAAGGAGTGGATTGCTGATTTGGTGAGAACTGAAGATATTCCTTGCGACAGTTTTACCAAGATTATTCTAGTCATTACTGATTCAGCCATCAAAGGATGATTATAAAATAGCACATTATTTATATTTTGTCAGTGAGTAGATATCTCATCTTAATGTTTTGCTTCTGGACTCATATCATATGCATAAACATCACAGCCATGTTCATGGATAAAACAAAAATTTGAAGTAATTTTTCATGTTTCTGATGAAGTGAATTCTGAACCACATAAAATAATGCCAGTCCATAAGACTTTCTGATGCATTCAATGAAACAGACTAAATCAGTGACTAAATCAGTAAATCAGAACTCAGCCTCTTCTCAATTTGATAAGAGTTATAATTTCTTCTATTTTTCTACAATAAAAATATTTGCATTTACAGTGTGCCATTTTGCTTTTTCTTATGCAGATTGAGTTGATATTTAAATTAAACTCATTATTTTCTATTCTTCCATGCAACACAACGCTTGCTTTCTTGCCCTTCTCTCCCAAGTGTACTCTGTGAGATCAATACAGTTCCCTGGGTCTGTGCTAACAGAAGGCTTAAAAAATACAAAGCATCCCTCTGTTAGCCTGTGTTTCCCACCTGAATTAGTTGTGGACCTCAAAGCTGCTTTGTGCACAGATTACATGAGTTACCTATGACCTGACAAGAAGCCAGAAATGACAGCAGTTTTAAGCACCCTAAATTGTCTTGATGAAGTGTTCATAATTGTGTTGCCTTTCTAAAAAGTTTCAAACTAAACTGAAATATGAAATTTATGTGATCCTTTATCCATTCCAATGAGTTTCCATATATTGACAGCAAATGTTTGTTATTGAATAACATTTCTAAACTGAAATGTTGTTTATTCATTCAGTCGCTTCTGACTCTTCGTGACCTCATGGGCCAGCCCATGCCAGAGATCCCTGTCAGCCGTCACCATTCCCAGCTCCTTCAAGATCAAGCCAGTCACTTCAAGGATATTTTTGAAGTGATATATTTACTAAACTTATATATTTACTTAATAATGTAATAGATGATTTTTTGTTATTTATATTCAGCTTTCCAATTGTTTATTAGTTTACAGAACTCTATGGCTCTTCAGCCTTAGGGGATTATTACGTGAAATCCATTATAACTACCTTTAGGTAAGTCATCTTCTGCTGTGTATCGTCCTTGCATTAATAAATGACTGTTGCCTTTGGTGACTTCCTATGCATGTTTTGCAGGTATCATAAAATATGAAAGCAGGAAAGAGTAGCAGATCCTATCAGAACTTGCAATTTGCTTCTGTTCAAACTGGAGACTAATTGCAATTTGTAATTGTAAATGTAACACTGAATCAGGAATATGGCTATGGGAGGCAGGGGCAAAATGGGGGCATAAGAATTTGGCCCCTGCATTTCTCAATTTTTATTTATTTTTATTATTTATTTATTTATTTATTTATTTATTTATGTCATTTTTATCCCGACCATTTCAGCCCCAAGGCGACTCAGGGCGGCGCACAGACTAGCAAGAACTAGATACCATATATAAATACATGTCAGTTAAAAACAATTTAAACACATCATAATACATGGAGTAACTTGAAATTTTCACTAAGCATTTACAAATACAGATGAGGCATTCAAAGAAAGGGGAAGGCTAAGTTACAAAGGAAATGTAAAGAAATCCTTCTCCTAGGCTCCCATTTTCACAGACATATCTGATGTGGATGTGAGATAGGGCATTCCCAGTGGCTGCCCATGACTCTCAAATTCCCATCTTACAGTGGTCTCCTTGCCATCCATCAATTGACAGACTTTTTGATTCCAAAAATAGTTATGCTTTAGAATTTCACAAAAAGTTATACATGGTTCAATGGGTTATCAAGTTTTACTAATCATTTTAGTAATGGGCATTGAATGTCTACCTTTTTTGTGTGTAAACTGCCCTGAGTCCCCTTGGGGAGAGAGGGCAGTCTATGAATGATGATTTTTGTTGTTTCGGCTATATTAAATTGTTTTTAGACTATAAGATACCATGTATTTCAATTTGGGCAAAAGGGATTATATTTATCCACTGTTTTGATTTGACTTGTTTTTGACATTGTATGTTTACCATTTTGTTACTTTTGTTGAAAACTGCCCTGAGTCCCATCGGAGAGATAGGGTGGGGTACAAATAAAGCATTATTATTATTATTATTAAAATTATTATGATGATAATGATAATAGTAGTAATACATTTTAATCTTATTTTGTCAATTTCCCCCAGTGAAGGAAAGAATGGCCTTCGAGCTTATTATTGGAGTACATTTTGGGTCCCACAAGATGTTGCCACCTCTATTAAAAATACACCTTTGGCCAAGGAAAAGAGAATAACTGGTAAAAGGACATCTCCAGTCACTAATAACACTGCTGATCCATTTCCTTTAGAAGAAGATTTTGATACTATTACTCTGGAGCTTTTTGGTAATGTTAACCTGTATATTCTTCTAAAGATGTTTTAATCATCTGCATGCATATAGCCAATTCTTTGATAGCTATTATTAATTTTAGTTTCAGATGCTGTGGATTATGATGTGACACTGAAATCAGGTAAGAGTTACTGCCACTGTCCTTTGCCCCATTCGTTTGTGCATTATTATAGAATTAGAAATTTTTCAAATCCACACTTTGAAAAAAGAACAACAAAAGTAGATATGACATAAGTATATAAAACTATGCCTAATACAGACAAACTAACGAAGAGAAGGCATTCTCACAACACAAGAACAGAGATACTACTCTCTGTGTGTGTCTTCAAGCCATCTGCTGATTTATGACAACCCTTCAAATCTGATAGGGTTCTGTTAGGCAAGGGATATTCAGCGGTGATTTGGCCAGCCCTCTTCTCTGAAATATAGCATATCGCACCCTGAATTCATTGGTGGTCTAGAACTGACTCTGTTTTTAGTTTCCAGGATCTGATACTTTCAGGACATTTAGGCCATGCAAGAAGCAACTAATGACCCAAATGGTGAGGTACTGGAGACAGATAAAACCAAGTATTTCTTCACAGGCAGCATGTAGTTAAATTATGGAATCTGCTGTCACATAATGTTGAGATAGCTTCCATCTTGTTGTTTTTATGTGCCTTATTTTTGATTCATGACATTTTCTTAGCAAGATCTATTCAAAAGAGGGCTACCCTGGCCTTCCTCTGAGACTGAGAGAAAGATTTGCCCAAGGCCAACCAATGGGTTTCCATGGCCGAATTGGGATTCAAACCCTGTTCTCCAGAATTGTACAGAACAGACAGATCGGTGAGTGGGAAAACATTATAAGAGAATGGGAAGGCTGAGTAAGAATTATGCAGCCTTCTGGGTGTGCTGGATTGCATCTCCCATCATTCCTCGCCATTGGATTATGCTGATTAAGACTGTTAGAACTTCTTTTCCATTGAATAGCCACATAATTCTCATGCTTGCAATGGAACCTCCTGAATCACTGGCTATTTTGATCTCTGAATGGGAGCATATGGGAACACACCTTCCTTGCAAAATCTGTTGAGTTTCCACTAGCCATTTGCTGTTGAATCCATCCAAATTGAGGTTTCTTAGAAAAATTACCAATAAAATTACCTGAACAATCCTCTGAATTTTAAATGAGCTATCCAAAGTGCTGAAACACTTCCTTTCAAATTCAGATGGAAATAGGTTGTGGACTCACTGCCTCACTGACATGAAAGATTATCACTACTGGCCATCTCATCTGTCCTGAAAATATGAACAGAGCTTGCATACATTTCCATGTTGGCTTTGTTTATAGCTTCAGTGGAAGAAAAAGAGGGGGATTGTTGAGCCAGCAGACACAGTCTGGCTCCCTCATGTATTGATATCCTTGCAGATATTATCTGAATAAGTATGGTAGCTTTGTTTTCAGCTCCAGCCCTTCATTATAGATAAGAAGAATCTCCTTTTATTTTAAGGAATTAGTTCTGAGCCTTGAGGCATGTCACCAAAAGATTGTGGCATGATAACAGCAGCTCTTTTCTCTGAGCTTTTTTGTCCTTCCAAGAGTACGGGAATAAATGAGATGATATCTGAGAAGAGTAATTATTTAATGCTACAGACTGAGCACACTATGATCTTAGTCTTTGGACAACATTTTTTAGAAAATAGGTAGCTTATGATTTAGAAAGTTTTGAGCTTAATAGGCTTGTCAGACTTGGAATTATACTTGGCCTGGCAGCCTTAACAACAACAACAGCAGCAACAGCAACAACAACAACAACAACAACAACAACAACAACTTTATTTTTATACCATGCCTCCATCTCCCCAAAGGGACTCAGGGTGGCTTATACATGGCACAAAATGTCCACAAAACATCAAAACAAAATAATCAATTAAAACAAAAAGCACAATTAAATTAAAACATAGCAAAGCATAACAATCAAAACACAATTAAAGAAAACATAAGGATATAAAACATCAGCAGTAAAACTCACTTTAACAAAGCACAACAAAAATCTATAACCAGAGTACTAAGATGGGCATGGTCAGGGTATAAAGAGGACTGGACCTGGGATAGTACAAAACAGTGTATTATAGAATTGGGGGATTAGAAGAAGTGCAGAGAACAGAGAACAGATGCCTATGGATGGAGAACAGTGAAGGGGGTAGCCTAATTTCCTTGGGGAGGATGTTCCAAAGTCCGGGGGCAGCACTAAGAAGGCCCTTAGATACAATAATCTTGATCCTTGTGGGTATGATGGTCATAATGACTCTTTTCGAAATCAGAAAAGTTAGGAACATAGAAAACTGACTTAACATGAGTTGAAGTATTTTTTGTATATAACTCAATACTGTCAATTCTGACTGGCAATGGCCCTCTAGATTTCAGGGGAAATTCTTCTGTAGTCCTACTTGAAGATCTCTAGTTCTCCCCGGTTTTTCTACATCCAGGTACTAACCAGGCCCAAACCTCCTTAGTTAAACATGAGATGAAATTAGGTGTATTCAAAGCCACAGGGATAGCCTGAATAGCAAAGATTCTCAAAATATAAATTGTGATGGATAATAAACAAACATTTGATTCTGTCACTTGTTGTAAGGCAGCATTGCTAAGTTGAGCTGCAATATGGGGAAAAATCATGTTGAACTCTCTCAACAACTATGTTGTAAAAATGAATGACTGCAAATTGTGAACTATTGTTTGCCCACTTAAACTGATGTTTTCCACTAGATTTCTCCATTTGTTCAAGTGCTTAGAGTTGCTTTGTATTGAATTTGCTGGTGAACGGTGTTGGCTCAGAACACCTAGAAATTAAAGTCTCCTATACACAAATCAGGTGCCTAAGTGAGATTCTTTTTCACAGCCTTTGTGCTTCTGTCCTGTCCCAATTCTCTCACAATTCTCTTCTCCAGTGAGATGGACAAGCACGTCTTTTGTGGCACAGAGACATCAGTTCCTAAAGATCTGGGTTGATGTGATTGGGATACATTTCTCTTTGAATTATTCTGCTTACTACTTTTCAGTCACTGATCTGTTTTGGTTTTATCTACCAGTGGCCTTTGACCTCTATGCAAAGCCTGGTAATAATAGGACATTAACACTGATGAATCCTAAGAAATCTTTTTATCAGTGGAGGCTAAGAGTTCCATCCGACTATGTTGTGAGGCTGGTCATTGTCACCTGGCATGATGTGATTCCCGGGAGCTGTGCATCTCACAGGTTGTCTGCATATGATTTCCTTCTCCCTCTTCAGAACAAGATCATCACAAGGTAAATGGTTAAAGAAAAGTTGACACCTTCAGGTGAAAAGGAAAGCCATATCCTGAAACAGTGGTCCAGGTATATATATATATATATATATATATATATATATATATATATACCCTTTTTTGGAAAACTGAAATAATGAAATATGATTTTTTTTTAGAATGGTGACTAACTTATTTAAGAAATAATGTTTACATATTTACTGCCCTAAAATCATTTCTAAAATGGTGAAGACTTTTATGTAAGATTGTATAGTATGAAACTATTCCTCGTCTTGCTTTACTTTGTTTACATTTTCTAAAAATGGAAATAGGTATGCTATGTCTGTTTGACATCATGGAGAAATAGTGGTGAAGAGTTTAGAAACAAAGCACTATGATAAGTTTTGGGGGGAGTTGATTATATTTAATTCAGAGAAAAGAAGATTGAGAGGTGACATGATAGCTCTCTTTGAATATCTGAAAGGCTATCATGTAGTAAATGGAGGGAGCTTGTTTTTAATGTGCCTGAAGTTAGGACCTAAAGTAATGGATTCACATTTTTAATGTCCTGATAGTAACACCTGTGGAACAGTAATACAGAATTAGATGTTTTTTCATTAGGTGACCCTCAGAAACCTTTTTGAATGTTTTAAATGGAACTTGGATGGCCATGTGGCACAGATTTTTAGGTGTGTATTCTTTCATTGTCAGAGAGGATGAAAAAAGAGTCTTGTGCTACCATAAAAATTAGCAATGCATTATGATATACAGGTGTCAATAAACACTTGACTTTATCATAGACATGAAGAGCTCTCCTTAGTTACATCTTTCTGTGTGCATTGCCTATCTACATGCACACACACAAACACACACACATGATTAGTCAAAGATTGAGTAATAGTGCTACTATGTATTGTCGAAGGCTTT